GCAAACCGCTTCAGATAACCCACAAGTGGGAATAGGAACACAAAAAAAGGCTAAGGATTTGAAAGTCAGAACACGCCACACAATAACTGGCAAGGCAAAGCAATACATGCAATAGCATTCCGTTCATGAGGGAACAGGTAGATAGCAATGGTATTCTACAGGGCTCAGGTTGAAGCAAGCGGGCAGCGCTGGTCCCTTGACTGTGCAGATGGCGTTGGACAGAAGACGAGAGAGAAAAAGAAAACTCCCTGCTGAATGTCCTTAACCACGAATGCTGTTTGCAGAGAGCAAAAGACAGGTTCCCCAGGCGATGGGAACATAGGCATCGTTCACTTTCTTACCTGTGGCTCCTTGAGTAGAAAAATGATTTACAAAATGGTAGGGTGAAGTACTTTTAGGTATGTGTTTTCAACCGACTTGAAACCTACTGCTATGTGGAGGAAGCGTTTCTGTTATTTTATTCAACTCCCCCACTCTCCCCCCAAAGAACTAACATAAACTCAAGAAGACTGCTCACAGGGAGCATGATGACCTCTTCCCACGGCCCATAGCGCACAGGTCCTGCTCAGTAAACCCATCTGCACACCGAGTGCCTCAGAGGACACGGCTAAAAATACACCCTGATCGCTCCAGCTATATCCCACACCGCTCAGAGCCACTGCCGAGCTCATACAGCGACATGAAATCGCCAGGGGAGAACGTGGTTTAGGCGCACACACACCAAAGCAACCCTAGGTTTTGCAATGATTTTCCCCTGAGGAGGAGAATCACCCAGATGGAGACCAAGATGAATCAGCCAGCATTTACTCTCATTTCCTGTTGGGCCATTTCAAAGCCAACAACTGCTCTTGAACTTGTATCCTATCCCCTCACAGAGGAGCCAAACTGTCTGCGACCCATCCTTCCCCCTGACAAAGAGCTCCCCAAAGAGCCTGGCTCAGTCCTCATGGCAGGAGAGAGGCCTAGCCGAGAGAGCTTGGTGCCTCAGTTTCCTTTTTGGTCTTTGTTGACCATGAATGAGTGCATCATTGTGTTATTGCGTTTGTGTATAGTAAACATCCTCTTTCTATATGGAAGTATCTCACTGAAGTGATTCATATGGCTTTTTTTTCCCCTGGGTATCTCAAGGTTATTCCCCCCTCCCCCGTTTTGAAGTCCTGTTCATGAGCTCAAGGAAGCTTTCAAAGTCTAAATTAATTCACTCAGAGGTCTCCGTAAGTGTCCCTTGACTATGTGCCATACACAAGCAGAGAAGGTGAAAGGGTTAGGGTCCACCCTGTATTTAAATACCCCAAGGGTCCACTTGTGATTGGAGTTACCTAGCACTCATGCAGGGCTGCTGCAGGTGAGCAAGGGGGTGTCCACATCGGTATTCTTACCCTCCCTGAGCCTCTGGGGGCTGGGCCGTGTGTTTTGCCTTTAGCTTCCACTCTATTCTCCCAATGTTTTCTTTTTTTCTTTTAAGTGCCTGGCTTTCTTGGTAAGAAATCCAGTTACCCTGACCTTTGCCTTTTCTTTTCTGCTTCTATTAGTCCTGAGATGACATTTTGTGAGGATCCTCATTTGTACTTGGACAGCTATTCAAAGACTCCTGGGGAGCTAGCTGAAGATCACTGGTTCTCTCAGTGGGGAGAGCACACATCCACATCATTGCAGCTGGATGGATTTAAGAAGAAACATGTCTTGTGAGATATTATCTCTAGCACGATGTTAAGTATGCCTTTTAAAAACCACCACGGTTTGGACTCATCTAGCATGTTGGTCTCATGAATGAGCTTACTTTTGTGGATATGACAGAATATCATTTTTTTTAAAAAAAATGGAGACAGTCTTCCTACATAGTCAAACTGGCCTTGAATTTGAGACCCTGATTCCTTGGCCTCCCAGGTGCTGAGATTAAAGGCTGTTCCACTGTGACAGCCTGAGTCATATGGTATCCTAGGAGTCTTGCCTCAAATCAAATATTTCTCCTTGAAGACACTCACTAACTGAGAAGTGCTTACAGGTGCTTTGACTGTAACGCATCACATTTCTGTTGGATTCAAACTCCATATTTAGTTTTTAAGGTTTCCTAAAATCGAGAAGATAGCTGCAATTGCTCTTTTGCTATCATTTGAAACACTATTTCCTTTACCGACTGTCCGATGAAAATGGAATGTGTCGGCTTCATTTGGCACTTTTCTTTGCCATCAGCATCAGGCATTGCCAACTGAAGCTTTGGGATCAAAACCTTCTTCCTGCCCACCAGTGCACTTCCTAGTGTAGGGTTGCTATAGATACTGTTGTCTGTGGTTGCTCTTTGAGAAGTGTTTCTCAGCAGAAATCAGTCCAGATTTCTTACCATGGGCATAGTGTTGACTTATGCCTTCTTCCTTTTTTTTTTTTAACTTCCATACTAGCCTAAGGAGGAGAGGAGGCATGGGCCAAGTGGTAGAGCACCAGGTGTGAATAAATAAGCCCAATTAATTTGCCCAAGGAGTCCATTCATCTTATTAGTCAACTATCTGAGTGGAAAAATAAAATCTGTCCAACTAGCTGCTTGATTGAGCTGTTAGGTTGGGAATTACATTGCTGTTCCTGCTGGATTCCAGGCATTTGTACATAGATTAAATCTTAGTCTCTAGTTTACTAGTAATTGGATGGATTGACGTTGCTTAGATTAGCCTAGCTACCTAAAGTTATGTGTTCAAACTGTGGCTAGAGATCTGGGTGCCTATGGCTCACGCCTATCATCCTGGCTACTCAAGAGGTTGAGATGAAAGGATTAGAGGTTCAAAGCCAGCCCAGGCAGTAAAGTCCATGAGACTCATCTCCAATTAACCACCACAAAACAAACACACAACTGGGAATGGAGATGTGCCTCAAGGGTAGGTACCCTCCTTGAGAGAAAAAGCTATAAGATAGCACCCAAGTCTGAGTTCATGGCCCAGTATTGGCACACACACACACACACACACAATGTGGCAGAAAAGCTGATGTTTGCCTAGCTCAGCCAAAAGACCTCTCTTTTGATCCATGGAGTTAATTTCTCATTTGACTCTGAGGGATGGCCCTGTGAGATCATCCATCTGAGGCCCAGAAGATTGTTCTGGAGATCAGCTGCTGCTGGCTGACTTGTGAATACAGTACAGACCACGAGTGAATCTTCCTTCAGATGTCAGTCTCTTTCTATTTATAGTTTCTGAGCAATTTCATAGCACACACTCTCATGACCATGGTAATGATTAATTTGGTGGGATGACATCACCTCATGAAGTGGCTTTGCTCATCACGGCTTTCTTTTATTTAGTAATTGGCTCCTATGACCCCTTCCGAGTCTGTACAGCAGCCTGACACCCACAGGCTCTTGTTGGGGTTCAGGTTCTCGTTGAGAGAGTGAGCTTCCTGCCAGGAATGCGTTGATCCCTGGGGCCCAGGGAGAAGATGCTGACCTGTGGAGCCATTTGCCTGGTGAATGCACACGGCTAGAAAATTCTCCTTGACCAGAGCAAACACACTGCTTTCAGTTTTTCATCACATCAGTGAGGAGTGGCTCTTTAGCAAGCCATGACTCTGTCATAATGTGATAGAGCTGGCTCCCACGTGCTGCCTGTATTACAGGGCTAAAGGATCTTTATTGTGTACCAAGGATGAATAGTAACCTCAGCAGGGACAATTCCAACACCCAATTGATTTCCCCTTAGCCAAGGCAGAAATCCTCCTCCCCGAATGTCAAGCTCTGATTTATAAAACTTTCCTTTTAGGGGTGTATATTTGCCTCTGTGTATGTGTATGTATTTATACATATATATGTATGTGTATATGCACGTGTGTGTACACACGTATGTACATATGCACACGTGTATGTATTTGCTTATGAAAATATCAAACAGTTTAGGTGGATTGAAAAGTGAAATAATACTTGAAATGTAGAAGGGCCACCACATACCAGAAATGCCAAACAGAACTCAAGTGACAAAGATTTCAGGGACGGTCTTAAGAGAAATGATCTATATCACCAAATTATTTTCTGTGTCGTTCCTTCGGGAGGGGGAGAGACTACCAGTGACTGGCTTTTCTCAACAGAGGGAGCTTGAAACTGGAAAAGTTGGTGTAATTTCATACTGCCAAGCTATACTTTCTTTATGCAACAACATAAAAAAGTTAAGTATATGGGAGATTCCAAGAATCAAAGATTATTTAGAAGGCAAGATAGCCTCTAATTAAATGGTAGGAACTAACTCACATGATGGTACGGATGTCCTGGGTGTCTGGATTCATGTAGAGACAGCACATGGTTCCTCAGCCTTTCCTTCCTCAAGGATAAAGTCCTTGTTCTATGGAGAAGTGTTTCTGAGGAAGGGTGAGGCATTGGGAAGGAGAGAGGCAATCATTCATCTTGGTTGTAACTGGAAGGTGTCACTCAAACACAGTGGGACCTCATAAGGAACAAGCTGAGGAGCACTTGGAGTTACAGGTAGAACTATGGAGGTATTTCACCTGACCTTTAGGATTTTGAGATTCTTGCTTTTCCATGCCTACTGTGCAAATCCTTTGGTTAGGTCAGGTTAGGTTATGACTGGAGAGAACAGAAGACATTGGACTGGAGAGAGTGTAAAATTACAGGAGGAAGAGAGGGAGCAGGAGAGGCCACTGAGCTCAGAAAAGAATATTTGATCAGCCAGGTGCTGGTGGTTCATGTCTGTAATCCAAGCTACTCAGGAGGCTGGGATCTGAGGATTATAGTTCAAAACCAGCTCAGGAAGGTAATTTTCAGATTCTTATCTCCGATTAACCAGCAAAAAGCCAGAAGCGGAGGTATGGCTCAAGTGATAGAGCATCAGTCTTGAGCTTGTAAAAGCTAAAGGACAGTGCCCAGGCCCTGAGTTCAAGACCCAGTACTGGTGTGTACATGTCTACACACACACACACACACACACACACAGACTCAGACACACACAATATTTTCAAAGATCCAGCATATTCTTGCCCTTGTTGACTTGGATGAAAAGAAGAAGAACTACTTTCTTAAACACAGTTTATCTTTAGTTTTCATGATCATATGATATGGGAAAAAGCAGCCACCTATCAATGTAAGCAATTTATAGGTTAAAAATCTTTGGCAAAATTGTTGACTTGCAATATCGTAGTGTCTTGTTCCCACCAGGTTTAAAACTTATGGCTCTGTAAATTTATAAAAGTGTTTTTAAAGTTTCCTTACAATCAGGCATTCAGAAACACACATTGATTCTCATAAGTTGGTTGAAACCTGCTGAAAATAGCAATGAACATCCATCCACTCCCATGTCCTTAGGCTACTTTGGTATGGATTTGTTAAGGCCTGAGGAAGTTGGAAATTAGGCAATTGCTTGTAATATAAATGCATATAAGACACATGAGCAAAAGAGGAAAGGTTAGTGTTGTATCCTCAGGTTTTGTGGAGACAGGGAATAAGGCCACAGTTCAGGAACCAGCACTCCTTTGATTTTCCTGCGACAATTTCCTATCAGCTTGAGTTCATGAGCCGGAGATGGACCCTGTTGGATGACCTCTGACCTCACATCCACCTTGTGCAGCAGGGTCCTGAGGGAGTGTGGGAAAGGGCAGCTGGTCGGCAGGGCGCTGTGCTCAGGATGGCTAGCAGGTGGAGGACTCTCCTGGTGGGCAGGACTTCCTGTATGGTCATGCCCTGTACTGGGGCTGGAGGTCTTGTCAGTCAGGACACTTCAGACAACGGAACAGCCACTGCAACATGCCCGGCAGCCTTTCTTCTTCTTCTTGGGGTGGAAGATGGTGAGGAGTGCTTCATCAAAAACTGCTTTGAGACCTTTCTGCGTCAGGGCTGAGCACTCCAAGTAGCACTGGGCTCCGATCTTAAACACAGACAGAAAGCCATGAATGAGGGGAAAAGAGAGAGAGAGAGAGAATAAAAACCCCACACAATAAAAACAAGCACCTATGAGCTTGCCAACTCTACCTATCATGTTCTGTTTGTGAGTCTCTTTCACAAATAGCCAGGGTTTGGTCTGGATCCTGCCTTTTTGTTTTTTGACATTCTAATTTTCATTGGCTACTCTATATGTTTTTTTTTTTTTTAACACCCTTTCTTTTTGTGTATGTGTGCTGGTACTGGGGTTTGAACTTAGGGCCTTTCATTCATTTCAGCTTGCTTGTTTAGGCTGTCTCTAAGAGACGGAGCCTTAGAGACAGAGCCTTGTGGAAGCTTCTGCCTGAGCTGCCTTTGACCTGTGGTTCTTAGGATCTCAGCTTGCTGAGGAGGATTACGGGCACTGGCTTCCATTTTTCTACATTTGTATGGGAAAGCAGTAAGTTGTATGTCAGTTTTGGCAAGCAGATTCCTAAAGTGATCCACCACTATTTGTTCCTGATGGAAGAATATGAAACAATAAATCTATTTTAAAAAACTAAGAGGAGATTTAAAACAAGCAGTAGTCTTTGAATATGTTTTGTGAAGATTAGGGTTTCGTGATGCTGTTTGTAACAGCTTCTCATTTGTCTGAGGAATGTGAAAGTCAAGTTCAAGTGAAATGCATTTCCTGGGTGTGAAGGCAGAGAGGTAGCCTGGCAGAGAAAGCATGTAGAAAGGAGTGAGTGATAGGGCCTCAGGTCATTCTGGGCTCGCATGGACTTCTGCTAGGTCATCACTTAACAAGGTAATATCGGGTAGGTATTTTTATCTAGTATTAACATACTTATATACTTTAAGAAATTAGAAGATATAAACATTTAAAATAATTTATTGACAGAGACATCTTCCTTGTCGGGGTATAGGCTGTATTTATTTATTTTGGGGTGCTGGGGCTCCAACCCAGGGCCTTATGCTATATGCAGTTACTACTGAAGTATACCCTAAGCCCTTGCCTGCCTGCCTGCCTTCCTCCTCCTCCTCTTCCCTCTTCCTCCTCTCCCACCTCCTCCTCCTCCTCCCCTCCTCCTCTTCTTCCTCCTCCTCCTCCTCTTCCTCCTCCTCCTCCTCCTCTTCCTCCTCCTCCTTTTCTTCTTCTCTCCCTGTTCTTTCTTCCCTTCCTTTCCCTTCCCTTTCCTTCTTGCGCTGATCCTGGGACTTGAACTCAGGGCCTAGACTCTGTCTCTGAGTTTTTTCTTTCCACAAGGCTAGTGCTCCACTACTTGAGCCACAGCTCCACTTTTTCTTTGGCCATTCCTGGGGGCTTGAACTCAGGGCCTGGGTGCTGTCCCTGAACTTCTTTTGCTCGTGGCTAGTACTCTTATTACTTGAGCCACATGCCACTTCTGGCTTTTTCTGTTTATGTGGTACTGGGGAATTGAACCCAGGGCTTCATGCCTGCTAGGCAAGCACTCTTATCACTAAGCCACATTCCCAGCCCCACAGTTCCGCCTTTGTACCTAATTGGAGATTCAAGTCTCACTGACTTTCCTGCTTGGGCTGGCTCTGAACCATGATCTTTAGATCTCAGTCTCCCAAGTAGCTACAATTATAGGTGTGAGCCACTGACCGCCTGGCTTAGCTCTTGCATTTTTTATTTTTGTTTTTGTTTTTGGGAGGCCCGGTTGTGGGGCCTGAACTCTGGGCCTGGGTGCTGTCCCTCAGCTCTTCAGCTCAAGGCTAGCGCTCTACCACTTGAGCCACAGCACCACTTCCGGCTTTTTTCTTTTTGCTTATGTGGTGCTGAGGAATCGAACCCAGGGCCTCATGCATGCAAGGCAAGCGCTCTACCTCTGAGCCACCTTCCCAGCCCATGCTCTTGGATATTTTGAGTCAGAGTTTCACTATATAGCTCAGACTAGCCTGGAACTCACTATGTAGTTAAGGTTAACCTAGAACTTATGATCCTCTAACTTCTATCTCCCCAGTGGTGGGAGTATATACCCTATACCCAGTCTGTACATTAAGGGTAAAGTATTTTGTGCTTGTTTAGAGCTTCATTTCAAAGCTTTTGGTTAATTTTATGACGACAGTATATTCGATAATCATAGAATCCTCAAGAGAAGCAGCAAGCCAAGCCAGAACTGTAAGCTTTCTTGAAGAAAACCACAGCTTGTTTGGCAGACAGCTTCACCGAAGGAGATCAGGGGTGTGATTGCCCACAAGCTCAGGAGACGCCAGCAGGGTGGCTCTCCTCAGAGGAAAGCATCTGGAGAAAAACTTTTATTTTTCATTTCATATAGTAAGACTAACTTTGGCACGTTAAAGGTGATTCAGAGGAGTCTGGCTGGATGGTGATTGCTTGCCAAGTCTGGCGATGAGCAGTTACAACAGGGTAGCAGAATCCCATGCCCACCGAGGCCAGCTGCTACATCGACAAATAAAGCAGTGTGGAGTGGGATGATGGAGCAGTGAGGCCGTGGTGGGAGGGGAAGCCTGCGTCCTGGGGGGGGGGGGGGGTGCTCTTTCCCTGTCTCCCTAGGGGAAGGCTGGGTCATGGCTGCTCAAGTCTGTATTGTTCAAGAGGAGTTGGAAGTTGGATATTTAATATTTAGTTATTTATAAAAACCATCCTGTGGGCCAAACAGGACACTGCTGAGAACATGTTTGGCTGTGGCCAGTCCATTTGCAATGTGTGGACGAGGGAAAAACCTGTTTAGCTCAGACTAGAGTAGGCGCAGCTCCAAAACAGACTGTTCCAGGGCGTTAGGTAGGAAGTAAGAAGACCAGACTTCAATTCTGGGCCTTTGCAGGTGGTAACCGAGACCCTTATCACTCAGCCCTGGGATGATCTGGTCAGGAAGACAGATAAATAGGTTAAGTCACGCATTGGAAAGGCCACAGATACAAAGACTTATATGAAATAGAGTGGTTTTGGCTGGGCCTGGAAATTACTTTCTAACTTCTCCAATAGATACTATGCACTTCTGTGTGTGTGCGTGCGTGCGTGCGTGTGTGTGCGTGCGTGCGTGTGTGTGCGCGTGCGTGCGTGCGTGCGTGTGTGTGTGCGCGCGCGCGCGCGTGCCAGTCCTGAGGCTTGAACTGAGGCCCTGGGTGCTGTCCCTGAGCTTCTCTTGCTCAAGGCTAGCACTCTACCACTACTACAGCGCCACTTCCAGCTTTTTCTGAGTAGTTAGTTCATTGGAGATAAGAGTCTCAGGCTTTCCTGCCTTAGCTGGCTTCAAACTGTGATGCTTAGATCTCAGTCTCCTGAGCGTGAGCCACCAGCGCCCAGCTGCCTTTTTTTTTTTTTTTTTTTTTAATGACAAGAATAAGCCAAAAGAAAATATCAAAAGCATGGTACTGAAACCATCACTGGGTATTGTAAACTTGTCTCGTGGTTTTTATCTTGACCACAGTTTGACCTTTAGATGAGGAAATAGCTTCCTTTTAAAAAGTAATGGAAAACAGTAGGTTGTGAAAGAGGAGTAGAAGGCAGAGACTATTTTTCCTAATCCTGTCAGGAAATATAATCTGTTATATTTGGTGCAGTGTTGATGCTTGATATAAACATGAGGCGGGGTGGGGAGAGGGGCGTACAAACATTTAGTGAGGGAACCTATTGTTTATCAAGGCAGCTCCTGTCCATCATGCTAAATACCTAGAAGGGACCCTGGGGCCACCATGGCAGAAGAGGGGGGTATATGGACGGACTTCCTACCAAGCTGATCCTGAACTTTGAACTCTGAACTGAGCTGAACTCTGCTTTCACTGTGCAGCCTAGCAGGATGGTGGTGTGAGGGGTCCTGCAGGATGGGTGGACCCCTCTTTTCTCCTTTCCCAAAGCACCGCCAACTGCCAGCAGATGAGACTCTGCTATTGGATGGTGCCGGATGAGCCTGAACTTGTCTCTCCCCATTCTGACCTCACTGAAGTTAATGCGACAGTAGATAAAGGCATGGTTATGTAATGAGGTTAGCATAATATTCTGAGTTCCTGGGAAAGTAGCCAGCAGATGTTGATGTGTAAGAAAGAGAATCGATTCTGAGGTGCGTACTGGTCCCACATTTTACGTTCCCGAGGGCTGGAGAGAGGAATTCCTGTTGGTTCAGGGAAGAAGCAGAGCTATATTAACAGCCATGAAGGAAAAAAAATCCATTTGTGTCATCAAATGTGAAACAGAGAACTTTTTTGAGAACTTTTTTCTAGGGCAGCAATCTTTTTGGAGTGATGTATTCAGCAATATGTTTAGAATCCATCTGCAAGAGCTCAGGGTTTGGGGATCCTTGTTTGGACATGCATGCTAGCAATCTGCAACATGCTTTACCAAATGGACATGTTTTCTTTCTTTCTTTTAGCTGGAAGTGGGGCTTGAACTCCACCGGGGTGCTGTCCCTGAGCTCTTCAGCTCAAGGCTAGAACTCTACCACTTAAGCCACAGTGCCACTTCTTGTTTTTGAGCGGTTAATTGGAGATAAAAGTCTCACTTTTCTGCAAATGGACATATTTTCAAGAAAAAAAGAGACTGGAGCTATAAATAAGGAAGACACTTTTCTGATAATTTTACATAATAGCTGAAATGTAATTGTTTCCAAAGCTGGGAAACATGTCATCAGCGCACAGAAAATGCCAGAGTGTTAATGTGTGACCAACGAGTTCAATGTTGGCTACTAAAGCACATTAAAAATACCTGGGTAAGGCTGGGAGAATATGGCTTAGTGGTACAATGCTTGCCTAGCATGCATGAAGCCCTGGGTTCAATTCCTCAGTACCAACCACATAAACAGAAAAAACCAGAAGTGGCACTGTGGCTCAAGTGATAGAGTACTAGCCATGAGCAAAAGAAGCTCAGGGACAATGCCCAGGCCCTGAGTTCAAGCTCCAGGACTGGCAAACAAACAGTGTGAGCCAGGTGCTGGTGCCTGATGCTTGTAATCCTTGCTTCCAGGAGGCTGAGATCTAAAGACCAGAGTCCAAATCATCTCCAATTAGCCAGCGAAGAGCTGGAAGTGGACGTATGACTAGAAGTAGAGTGCTAGACTTAAGAGCAAAAGAGCAAGGGGCTGGGAAGTTGGCTCAGTGGTAGAGTGCTTGCCTCGCATGCATGAGGCTCTGGGTTCGATTTCTCAGCACCATATAAGCAGAAAAAAGCCGGAATTCATGCTGTGGTTCAAGTGATAAGGTGCTAGCCTTGAGCTGAAGAGCTGAGGGACAGTGTCCAGGCCCAGAGGTCAGCCTCCATGACTGACCAAAAAAAAAAAGCTGAGCAAGAGTACGAGGTCCTGAGTTCAAGCCCCAGTACTAGCATCCAAACTTGTGTGAATTGATCAGGCTCTCTGTGGGTAAAGTGACTGATCAGTTTCCAGGACACTGGAAGCTGTGCCTGAGAAGATGCCTCTGAACACTGGTGTCCCTGCCTGTTTTTGTCCACCTTAGGGTGGAGGATCCCCAGCTGACATGTCTGCTGTGTTGGGAAGCCTCTTCTGGGCCCTTCCTTCTTGGAGTGTGTCCATGTGCTTTGCCTGGGCCTGTCACTCTGCCCCATCATGCCATGTGCTTATTTGCCTGGCTCTCTCTGCTTCTGGCCTATGGGCCATGCTTGTGGTGAACTGACCTGCCTGCCATAACCAGGGAAGAAAAGGAGATGGTCGACAGGGCAGGCCCCTGCGTCCCTGCATACAAGGCAGGATGGAAGACTCTACTAGCTCCTCATCAACTAACACTGACACAGTGTTTTTGCTGCTTTTAATCCCATCTGGGCATTTAAAAACCCAAGGGAAACAGGTGTCAAGTTAGAGTGACAAAAACAGAAGGCATAAGGTGAAGAAGATGGTGGGAGAGGATGAAGAGAAGCCAGAGATGAGCCAGAAGAAAAACAGGAAAGAGTCGTATGAAGAAATAATATAGGAAGTTTAAGCTGGGTGTGGTGGTGCACACCTAGTTCCAGAACAGGAAGAAAATTGTGAGTTCAAGGTCAGCCTGGACCCTGTCTCAAAACAAAAACAAAAAAAGTAATAAATCTGAACTTAAGAAGTCATATTTGGGCTTCATCAGATGGAAATGAGAAAGAATGCCCAATGTTAATCCTTGAGCTCATCTGTAGTATCCAGAATGGTACCTGGGACATAAGTAGGTGCTTATTTTGAATAGTTCTAGTAGCAGTCTATGGACATTTATATAAGTGTAGGCTGAGGATTAAAAACAATAATTGAACGGGGGCACTGGTGGCTCACACCTGTAATCCAAGCTGCTCAGGAAGTTGAGATCTGAGGATTGTGCTTTGAAGCCTGCCTAGATAGGAAAGTCTGTGAGACTTATCTTCAGTTAAACACCAACAAAACCAGAAGTGTAGTTATGGCTCAAATGGTAGAGCACGGCCTTGAGTGAAGGAGCTAAGGGACAGTTTCCAAACCTTAGGTCCAACCCCAGTACCAGAACAAACCAAACAAAACCCCAAACAAGCAACAACCAAGAGACATTCCAAACCTAAGGGTTTCTTAGAGGAAGGAGGCAAACAAAACTCTGTGGTTCAAGCATTGTTTCCTACTCCCGCTCTGCTGCTTTCTAGCTATGTGTCCATCCATCAGCCTCAGTTTCCTCTCGGAAAGCAGTGGTACTCCTATATACCCCTCTGGGGGTGGCTGTGAGGAGTAATTATGATGAATCATGTAAAGCAATGGCCCTGCAGCCTTGCACATTATGAACACTCTGTCCATGCTAGCTCTTATAATCAACTACTGGCCGGAGAAGCAAAGACTAGAGACACTTAAAGCATCTCTATAATTACAGGAATTGGGATGAAACAAGTTAAAAACCTTGTTTGGCTTTTCCTCTAAATTGGATTTTGTAAGCTGAACCTGATTGTCTAGCAGAGTGCAGTTGCTAGGAGAGACTGGAAAAAGGCAGGAAATTGGAGAGCTCAGCCATTCTTCTTAAAATAAGTCTGAAATGAGATGGGAGGCTTTAGAGTAACTTCTTTGGAGTGGGGGAGGAACCCCCCCAACCCCCAAAACCTCCCAAGTGAGAAATGAGGAAAGGAAGCTGATGGGATAAAGGTGGGAGAGAGGTCCGGGGACCTCGTGCTAGGATGCTGTGTAATTATTTCTAGAGCTCTGTGTTAAGTGTGGTAATGGGAGTGGCTGAGGTTGAAGGAATGCTTGGGGAGGAGGAAGCATTCATGCTCCCAGCAGAAATGCATATGGCATTTCTGGTCTGAGGCCCATGCAGCAGTGTCACAGAGCTGGATGGGGACTTCTTTGTTATTGTTAGGGGTGTGAGTCAAATGTGTGTCTCCTTCCAGACCCCTGATTGATGAAGTGAGACTTTCTCTGGATGTATGGGGATTATTGTGAGCCTGAATTATGGGAAAATTTGTTAAAATGCTTAGTGTCCTAAGAACTCGGGGTTAAGCTGGGCTCTGGTGGCTCAGGTCTGTAATCCCAGCTACTCAGGAGGCTGAGATTTAAGGATTGCAGTTTGAAGCCAGCCCAGGCAGGAAAGACCCTTATCTCCAATTAGCCACCAGAAAACTGATGTGGAGCTATGGCTCAAAGTGGTAGAGCTCTAGCCTTGAGCACAAAAGCTCCAGGACAGCTCCCAGGCCCTGAGTTCAAGGTCCCTGACCGACAAAACAAAACAACAACTAAAACCAAGCAAAAATCCTCTTACAATGGCTGGAATTGGACTGTTCACATGACTGTTCACAAAAGTAGGAAGAGTCTGGCATTCCTGAAATGTGCTTGTGAGTGCAGTGCCTAAGGACATCTTATTTGATTTCTTTTTATTCACTTTTTGTCATCTATAAATGACCTTGAAAAGAAGATGCATACTACATTGTTTTTGGTGGTATTGGGGTTTGAACTCAGAGTGTTATGCTTGTTCAGTAGATGTTCTACTACACTTAAGCCATATTCCCAGCCCCTTTGTTCATTGCTTATTTTTGTGAGGCTTATTTTCTTTAGACCTAGATTGGCTTGAACTGTAATCCTCCTATTTGTGCTTCTTTGCCACTGGATGACAAACATGTGCTTCTGCACCCAGACATGGTGCTTCTTCTGGAACAACAGGCACACTACCATCTCCAGTTGAGATGGAATAGCTCAACCAATGGAGAATTTTTCACACTCAGGCTGCCTTCCAACCGTGATCCCCTGACTTCCACCAAGTGAGTATCTAGGATTACAGGTTTGATCTACTGTACTCAGCTTGTAGTTAATATTGTTATGAACTGGTGTGTGTGTGTGTGGAGAGAGAGAGAGAGAGAGAGAGAAAAAGAGAGAGAGAGAGAGAGAGAGAGAGAGAGAGAGAGAGAGAGAGAGAGAGAGACTTCTAACTCCCCAGGGAATGCATTTTTCAGGGTTACTTTCTTACAAAGTAAAACAAAGCCAAGCCTAATAGCACATATCTGAATCCAGCGTGGGCACAAGTGTGAGACTCTTACAAAATGGACCAAAGCAAAAGGGCCTCCGGATGTGTTCCAAGTGCTAGATAGAATCCTTGCCTAGCAACTGTGAAATCCTGAATTCAATACCTAATGTGTGGCTGGGTGGTGGAGGGAGGGAGGAAGAAGAAAAGAAAGTAAAATAGAAAAATGTAAAGCCTACTTGGATCAGTGGATTTATGATTAATTCAGTAGGGGAATGAATTGAAATGATGGGAGTGTGATTTTTATACGCCTCCTTGTTCATGGATTACTTGTGTCCATTTTAGTGGCTGCTTTGCAGATGTCTTGTGGTTAACAGAGAGGCCAAGATTTGTGGGCTGGCAAATTCTTTGTGAAGTATTTCCTCCACGCAGTTGTTATCTTGGTAAACTCTCAAGAATGAAGAAAGGTCTGGGAAAACAGATCCAGCTCTGAGCAAATTGCCTTAATCTGTGAGCAGCTGCTTAGATTCCCCAACAAGTTGATCTTCGGTGTATGTTATTTTTCCGTATGTTGTTTGCAACAGCCGAAGTGGCTTTTCATTATACGTGGAGGAAATATGGGATAAATATAACCCTGTCAGATTCTCACCTCAGTCTCTCCCAAGAAAATCACAAAATGCCTTGCTTGGGCCATTTAAATGAGTTACACTGATAATAAGCAATGAGAGTTGCAAATGTTCATCTTGAATGCCCACTAAACATGGCAATAGATGTTCTTGAGGCTGCTAAATCAAAATAATAAGTGTTATAGCTGTTTTGACTCACAAGATTTCTTTCTTAATGAGAAACAGGCAATGCTGGCTGACAAGAACACCAACCAAATGGCCTCCTCCCGCCCCCTTCAAACACAAGGAGGGGATACAGAACAAAATGATTCTGAACACATCATGGTGGAAAGCAAATCCTATATTGCTCACACATTCCCAAGAACACACCCATCCTTCGGCATGCATGAAGAACTGAGTTCAAATCTGACTGTACCGCTTTGGCAAGTTTCACACCATGCTCATAGGTGAGGGGTTTCTCCTTCATGTACAGCAGACGGGCCAAGGTTTTGGGGTCATCCCGGAGATCAATCTGGCAAAAAACATACCCATGATGAACTTGTGTCTGTGTGTCTGTTTGTGCATGTGTGTGTATGTGTACCATACTGAGGCTTGAACTTAGGGCCTTGGGCTCTTGCATGGACTCAAGACTGGCAGTCTGTCACTTGAGTCACAGCTCCATTTCCAGCTTTTTGCTTGTTAATTAGAGATCATCGCTTGGATTTGTCTGCTTGGGCTGGCCTTGACCTGTGATCCTCAGATTTCAGCCTCCTAAGAAGCTAGGATTACAGGAATGAGTTACGGGGCTTGAACTTACTTGTTTTACCCACTTACTAACTGTGACCTACTAGAGTTATTTTAGCCTCCCAAATATCTGCGTTTGCAGAATTTTCTTTAAGAAAGTACATCACCCAGGCCCTTGTTCTGTTTGAAAAGGTAAGATGTTTTCTTTGTAAATAGATACTGGCATGTCTTTATACTGTCTGCTTCAAAGTGGTCACCCGGGGGCTGAGGGCTTACTGCTGTAATTCTGGTGCTGTTGTGATTTTTATTTGTTGATTGATTTCTCGATTTCATTGGTAAGGGCAGAAAAGACAACCAGGCAAAAAACAACACAGCAGCGGTGATTTATTTAACCCTAAGTGATATGACTCATTATTTAGTACTTATTTCCTAGCTCTGGCCACTTTCTTTTCCAAATCAAATCTTCATCTGTTTTTTTTTTTTGGGTGGGGGTGGGGGGAGATTTGCTCCCTATGAGACTATTCATCAAATAACAAAGATCTGGAGAGCTCTGGAAAGCAAGTTCCAAAGAAGGTTTCTTCAATGAATAAACATGAATCTTGGCAAAGACAGAATTTCATGGAAGGGAGCACATATTAGATTTGATAATTCAATTAAATATCCTGAGTACATTTCAACTTTACTGTGTATATGAACTTGAGAGTGAGCACACAGACCTGGTGTCTTAAAGAAAAACCAATCTGCTCATTGATGAGCCTGGCGCTCAACACTACTAAGCCACGTTTTGTTTTCTCCTCCTTTTGTTTTTCTTAATTATTCCACTTAGTGTATGTGATCAAATAGGCTCAAAAATGACCCTAATGTGTTTGAATGTCCCTTCTAGGCTCCATCAGTATGGAAAAATGCTAATATTTGTAATTTAAAGCAAAAGACTTCATTTAAATAAAGGATTATCGGCTGGGTGCTCGTGGCTCAGGCCTGTAATCCTAGCTACTCAGGAGGCTGATATCTGAGGATTCTGGTTTGAAGCCAGTCTGGGCAGGAAAGTCCATGAAACAGTTATCGCTAATAAATAACCAAAAAGCTGGAAGAGGAGATGTGCCTCCAGTGGTAGAGGGCTAGCTTTAAGCAAAAACAAAAGCTCAGTGCATCAGGCCCAGAGTTCAAGCCCCAAGACCTGTAAAAATAAAAATAAAGGAGGACGGCTGGGTGCTGGTGGCTCATACCTATAATCCTAGCTACTCAGAAGGCTGAGATCTGAGAATCCTAGTTCAAAAGCCAACCTGGGAAGGAAAGTCCATGAAACCCTCATCTCCAATAAACCAGCAAAAAGCCAGAGTAGAACTGTGGCTCAAGTGGTAGAGCATTAGCTTTGAGCAAGAGGAACAGCAACCAGATCCTAAGTTCAAACCCAGGACTGGCACAAACAAAACCAAACAAGTAGGAGGAGGAGGGAGCAAGAGGAGGGGGGAGGATGAATAAAGAGAGGAAGGAGGGATGTAGTTATAAAATTCAAGGCATATCCAACATTGAGGGAAGGGGTGGGGTTGGGAGGGATGGGGGAGAAGGATAAGGAGGGACACTGATCCAGATGCCCTGTATTCATAAACTACTTTGTTGAATGGCAACTCCTTCATACAACTACTTAAAGATCAAAACAAAACAAAACACCCAAACTTCATTTTTACCAAACAGGGAGAGTTATCACACCAAAACAAAATCATAAAGCCCCTCAGGGTTGCTGGCTTCCGCTGTCTTTGGAATAGTACTTGAAGGTTTTAAGAAAGCAAAGACCATTGAAAACTACAAAAAGCCAGGGCAGGCTTTAATCCATGTATACAATTTGGAAATTCAAATTATGGAACTTTATTAATTTCCAAACACTTGAAAGGTCTTGACCATCCAAGTGTGTTTATCTTGTGTACATGTATTTCAACCTTATTTTCTCCCTAAGATCCAGATGATCAAGGTTTTTTAAAAGAAGAAGGAGAACAAATGGTTTCTCTCTTCCATCTCTTGGTGTGTTATGAAGGAGCTCTGTCATCATATGCCCATCTCGATTACTGGGGTCATTTTGATCTTCACACCAATTTTGTGATTTTAAAACACCTGTAGATTTCAGCTAGAAAAAGTTTTAGAAAATTTGTTCAGCCAATATTCTTACTCTGTTACTCCCGTTTAGGGCCAGAGAAGAGTATTTAAAAAATTATTTTGTCTGTTGCGCCCTGGTGGCACATACCTGTAATTTAGCTACTCAGCTGAGATCTGAGGATTGTGGTTTGAAGCCAGCCCAGGCAGGAGTCTGTGAGATGCTTATCCCAAGTTCACTATCAAAAAAGCCAGAAGTGGAGCTGTGGCTCAAGTGGTAGAGCATTAGCCCAGAGGAAAAAAGCTCAGAGGCAGCACCCAGGCCCTGAATTCAAGCTCCAAGACACACACTATTTTGTTATTTTAAAAAAGTTGAGATTATTATTGTTTTTGTCAGTTTTGGGGCTTGAACTCTGAGCCTGGGCACTGTCCTTCAGTTCTTCAGCCCAAGGCTAATGCTCTACCACTTGATCCACAGAGCTACTTTGGTCTTTTGGTAGTTTATTGGAGATAAGAGTCTCATGGACTTTCCTGCCCAGGCTGGCTTTGAAATGCGATCCTCAGAGGAGTAGCTAGGATTACAGGCATGAGCCACCAGCACCTGGCTTGAGATTATTTTTGAAAGGTCATATCAAAACTTCCTGCTTCATATTATTTAATATGAAGTTATAAATAGTCAATATAAATTTCATTTTCTGCTCCAGACTAAGTCATCATGCATGCCTAAAGAACATCTGTTCTCGGAAGAGATAAGAGCCCGAGCCTCTTCCATAGCTTTGGTAGAAAACGTGGTGTTAGCAACAGGTCTCTCTCGCAGCCCACCCCACCCAGCCATGGTCCCTGTTTTCACCTGGGTCCCAATCAGGATGTAAGGCACATGGGGCATGCAGTCCTTCAGCTCTGGGACCCACTCCTCCTGGACGTTGTGGTAGGAGGCAGGATTGACCACGGAGAAGCAGATCAAAAACACATCGGTGTTGGGGTAGGAGAGTGGCCGCAGCTGGTTGTAGTCCTCCTGTGGGAGGAGCAGACAAGAGTTTGTTCAGCCTGGGGGGCTGAACCACTGTGGTAGATGGTGGTTCAGTTCCTTCCCCTGTGCCGGAGTGTAGTAGGTCTCTCTATTACCAGAAGTAAAGGAGCCATCCCTCGGGAAAGCTCATTCTCGATGATACTGCACATTGCACATATACATCGACATCACACGCCTCCTCCTCTGAAGATGAGCTTAAAAAGATGTGAGCGGCTTTCTTATGCTATAACTTATACACAGTGAAGTTCACCCGTTTATTTTTAAATTGCTTTTCTTTCTTTCTTTGGTGGAACTGGAGTTGAACCTCAAGGCTTTCTAGGCCGGTGCTCTACTATTCGAGCCATATCCCCAGCCCTTTTTGCTTTAGTTATTTTTCAGATAGAATCTTGTAGTTTCCCCTCCTCCCCCTTTGGGCCTGGGTAGACCTGGACTATGATCCTCCTATTTCTATACCTCCCAGATAGCTGAGATGATAGGTGTGAACCACCATGCTTTGCCACCCACTTATTTTTCACGACTAAATTATCTATACTTCGGGCGCACAATATGATGTTTACATAGTCAAATTAGCATATCCATTTCCAGAAGCAGTTATCTTTTAAGTGGGTAACAGCACCTGAAATGTTCTTTCTTAGTGAATTTCCAGTATACAATATAGGTATTATTAAATATAGTCCTCACACTGTGTACATTAGCTCTCTAGAATTATTCCTTGTGTGTAACTGTAGCTTTGTACCTACAAACCATCTTCTCTCCATTTCCTGCTCCTCCGTGCCCCTGATAACCACCATCCTACTCAGTTTCTATATATTTAAAAGGTCCCCCATTCCAAAGTGTGTAATTCAATAAAAGTCACTGCAATCAGAGAGACAAACGGCACATGGTCTCCCTGATCTGTGGCTGTTAAATTCAAAATGCAAGGAGATATGACTAAGTAAACAGGACTCAAGAAACACAGGACCTCTACTTAATTTGCTGTATCATTTCTAGATGACTCCATGTTTGTGACCTCAAATATGGTATATACATGTGCACATCTGAAGGAAGCTAGGAGGAAGGCACAGAATCAGAGGAAAACAGGAAAAAATACAACAGAGAGGCCCATCAACTGCTCTAGACATTGATGAAAATGAACTAAGCAACTCAAGGGCAGCGATGGGAGGGAGGGAATGAGAGGAAAAGAGGGAACAGCTTACACTAAGCAAAAGGAAAGAAATGTACATATCACCCGATGTGGAAGAAATAGTTGTATTGTCAAAGCTCATAGAATTCACAAACATTATAGATCATGATAATGACAATTTGCCTTGTGAAGGTTAAAATGTGTTTGTAACTTTAACTATCACTATCCCACAATACTGTGAAATTTATGTAATCATTTAATCTCAATAAAAAATTATTTAAGGGCTGGGAAGGTAGCTTAGTGGTAGAGTGCTTGCCTTGCATACAGGAGGCCCTGGGTTTGATTCCTCAGTACCACATAAGCAGAAAAAGCCAGAAGTGGTGTGTGGCTCAAGTGGTATAGCACTAGCCTTGAGCTGAAGAGCCGAGGGACAGCATCCAGGCCTAGAGTTCAAGCCCCATGGCCAACAAAAACAAAAACAAAGTCACTGCATTTCTCACATTGTGATTGTCCTATACAAAGCATGCATTTAAATCAGTAGGCCACTGGCCAAAGCAAAGCAATCTTATATAGTTTTGGGAAATTGTTTCCACACTTAATGTGGAATAAGCTAACCACAATACAACACAAAGCATTGTTTGTTTTGAAGAAATATGTGGGGTGAAGATTTAGAGCTAAAAATTTGGGTCTTGTTTCTAAATTTACTTCAACCACACAATGTGGGCAAACAAATACAATGCAGATCTTTTTGTTCCCAAGACCTCTCCAGATCTTTCAGTAGGAAGTCTTGCATGTTTTCATAGAATTTAGGAACCAATAAACTGAAAGTAATGTGTGTACATATGCCCACACCCTGTATATTTACACATCCCATATAACATGCATTCAAAGATGTATATAGAGCGCAGTGTGTACATGCATACACTTCATGTGCACACGTGCAACCAGATGCACACGTGAACCAGACCCACATGCTCACACACAGGTTAGATAGTGTATCGTAAACATAGCTGGCAAATCCACTCATTTGCTGGAGTCCTGACTGCTCTTCCTTGCATTTCAAAAATTATGAAACACTGATGTATTCACTGCAAATGCAGGCATTGCCAAAATGCTGAGATAAGGAGGGAACAGTCAGAAGTAGCCCCTTGACCCACCAAAAAAAAAAAGAGGGAACATTTGTTTCCATTTCCAATGTGTTTTCCAAGATTTTTTCTCTTACAAGGAACCACTGCCTTAATTGCCCTTCCAAACTTCTAAGATTTCTTTATGTATATAATGTTTAATTTAAAGACATTAATATATATATAGTTCATATTGTTGGGCCACTTATTTTAAAAAGCAATGCCATGGGTTTTAGTTCATATTTTTTTCTTTTAAGACTGGAACTCACTCAGCATCTGTTGCTTTTGCTCATTGGCTGTCGCTCTACCACCTGAGTCATGTCTCCAGCCCGTAACTGTATTTTTGATATAGGGTTATGCTGTGTAACCCAGATTGGCCCGGAACTAACTGAATTGTCCTGGCTGGCCTCAAACTCAAGAGGATGTCTCTGCCTCCTGAGAGCTGGTCTTATAGGCATGGGCCATCACCTTGACTACCTTTCTACTGACTCTACTGGTATCTTTATAAAAAGGCACAGACAAACACGCACACATGTGACCGGAAGGAAGTGCCTTGGACTGTTAGGTGTGGTTGTCTCTGCCTGGTGGCCACATTGTATCATTGAGCTCATCAAAGCACCCAGAACAGGGCTCAGTACCTGTAGTTATTATCATTGCTATGATTAAAACAAAGTGAGGCACAAGTTGCTCTTGCCTGTAGTCTGAGATCTGAGATCAAAGTTCAAAGTCAACCTGAGTAGACAAATCTGAGAAACTCTTATCTCCAATTAACCAGCAAAAAACAAGTGGAAGGGTGGGTCAAATGGTGGAGCAGCAAAGAGTTTTGAGTGAAAAAGCTAAATGAGAGCTCAAGGGCGTGAGTTCAAACCCCAGTACTGGAACACACACACAACACACATATACACACACCACCACTACCACCACCAAAACTTAAGCAAAGATTTTAGGTACTTAAGTACAATGCAAGGCAAGATATCAAGAACACAGAAACATGAAAATCAAAGAGCTGAAGCTGGGCGCCAGTGACTCAGGCCTGTAATCCTAGCTACTCAGGAAGCTGAGATCTGAGGATCATGGTTCAAAGCCAGCCCAGGCAGGAAAGTCCATGAGACTCTTCAATAAACCACTCAGAAAACCGGAAGTGGTGCTGTGGCTCAGATAGTAAAGTGCTTGCCTTGAGCTGAAGAGCTGAGGGACAGCGCCCAGGCCCAGAGTTCAAGCCCCACGACCAACAACAACAGCAACAAAAGAGCTGAAGAGCCACATTTCTATGAAAATGAAAAATGGGGAGTTGAATGCAGAGCTGAATAAATGTTAGTTACAGTAGGAAGTGAGGGCTAGAGCTAGTGATGGCATCTTAGCCCAGTTATGCCCATGTCTGTCTGGGTGGGCTGTGAGGGATGGTAGGGGTGGCGGTGTGTGTGTGTGTGTGTGTGTGTGAATAGCTTATCTCTTGGGACTCCCCTTTCTTCTTTAAAAAACAGCTCTGAGCACCACACTTTCTCTTCCCAGCACTGTTTATGTCTCCCCTTTATCTCTAGAGTATTTCCTCAGAGAGTAGCAAGTTGACTTATGAATTATCTTGAGCTGTAATTGGTAACTGTTCCCTACTCTTCCTGCCCTCCGCCCCTTCTTCCCATTGGGACTGTCACCATATCTAGGCCTAGGGCTAGCTCAAGACGATTTTTTTGTCTCATTCTCCACTTGCGCGTTGCACATTGCAAACCTTCCAAGAATGTGACTGACTCATTGGAAGAAATGGGGTCGCCGGTGACCTCCAAATAAACACAGCTTTCTTTCTTTCTTTTTGTTTCACAGAACAGAGCTGGAGAACCTTTATTAATTTCAAGCAAATCAGACAGAGCAAGAAAAATAATCACAAATTAAAAAGATTTCATAATAAAAATTGATAATAGATATACATATGCAAGAAGATGTAAAAGGCTTTAATTCACATGTGTCCCATAAACTACCAAATGTGAGAAAAAAAATGACAGAACTACAAAAAGAACTAGACAGATTCCTTATAATACCTAGAAATTTCAACATCCCAGATAGTAATGGAAAGAACCATCAGGTAGAAAATGAGTGAAGGCATATTTAGACTGAAGAGCACTATCAGTTAACTGAATACTATTAACACTTGCAGAGTATTTTGTAAAACAATAGCAGAGCACAAATCATTGTCAAGCTCAGTGGAACCATTACTGTAGGTCATTTCTGCACTAGAAACCACATTTTAACAAAAAAAGAGAAATCAAATCAGGTATGCTTTCAAATAAAATAAAACTAGATATTAATTATGGGAAATGAAGCAGAAAATCTGCAAGTATTTGAAGACCCAAAGCAGTTTTTTTTCATTTTCCCTTTAAAAATAGTATAGAGGAATTATACAAAGGGATTTCATGGGTATATTTATAACATGAATATAATAGACATTGATCAAAATACAATTATATATTGTTTATTGACATACGTGCACTTGTCATATGCCACACATGCCATAAATGCCATGCATGTCATAAATGACACACACTGTACATGCCTTATGCCACACACATCACACATTATACATGTCATACATGCAATTCATGTCACACACCTTAAATGTCAGGCACGGGACGCATTACATACATGCCACATTAGTCATACGTGCCACACATGCCATACCTGTCATATGCCACATATGTCAGATGTCATAGTGCCTTCTATGTCATGCATGTCATGTTATATCACAC